ACAATGGATCAAGACTTATATTAACATAATAAAAAGAAAACAAACACGCAATTATTACCATTATTGACAACTGTAGATCCAGTGGCATCTTTTAATTGCACCACTCTTCATTGTACCCTACTGTGTTAGCACATCAAAGGCCATTGATGATCATTCTCCTATCTAAAGTAACAGATATGAACTAGTGATGAGAAAAATTCTCCAGTGCTTTTTCGTTAATCCCACAGAGCTCCTTCCTTGTTTCTCCTTTGTGTTTTATTCCCATTGCCTATTCTGACGAGGGAGTCTGTGAACTGGAGATCAAAATGTCCAGAGGCCATCAGGTTGAAGAAGGCTGCCCTAATGACCTTAAAGGGTATTGTAATGCATAGGGGCTATTCCAAACTCCTCCTTTTTTACATTATTAACTACTATTTCTCATTTTGCTGATTTTATTGTGTTTGGAGGATGTGACATGTCAGTTACATAGGGATACAAGTTCTTTGGGGAGGGATAATTAACTTTCTATTTATAGTTTTGTGTAGGATTGATCTTCATACCGGGATGAATCATTTATTTGACGGTTTTATCTACAGTTTTGTTTGCGAAGGTTCCATGAATAGACCAATATGCCTGAGAACAATAGCTGCTTTTTGAAGAAAGAAAGCAAGATAGAAAGAAGAAAGAAAGAAGGAAAGAAAGAAAGAAAGAAAGAAAGATAGATAGATAGATAGATAGATAGATAGATAGATAGATAGATAGAAAGAAAAAGAAAGGAGGGGAGGGGAGGGAAAGGAAAGGAGAGGAGAGGAGAGGAGAGGAGAGGAGAGGAGAGGAGAGGAAAGGAAAGGTTACCACATATTCTTTCAGAACATCTACTTGTTACTACATATTCACTGAATGAAAATTACATCAATATATTTATGGAGTGGGGAGTTATAAAGAATCCTGTGATAAGTGTTTCCTTGTATGCTCAAACTTCTCAACCATATCTTCCAACCGTATTGTTTCTGCAATGTAATATGCTACATGAATTTCCTCAGAAATAAATATAGTCAGTGGTGGGATTCAAATATGTGAACAACCAGTTCTCTGTGTGGATGCCGCTTCTGGAAGTCCATTCTGGGCATGGGCAACAAAAAATTAGCTCCTGGTTCTGCCAAAGTGGTGCGAACTGGCTGAATCCCACCACTGAGTATAGTAGCATCACATCTACATTTTGAAATCCATTATCAACATAAAAGTAATCTCAAATAGCACCTTTTTGCCTGGTAATAATCTGAAAGTTCCAATGATGATAATAAGGATAATACATTTTATGAGCTGGATTGTAAGATGATTGCACTGTTCTGTTGAAATACCTGAATATCACTTTTCCATGCTCTAAATCATGAGCAAAACCCAAACAAGCCAAATAAATAAAAGAAACCCAATAGTTTCAAAGTTGTAAGGAGAGACAAGTGAGAGGTGGAAATAGAGCAAGGATGAGGAAAGAGAGAGCAGGGACATTCCTATATAGCCAATAATTAAGAGGAAGGGGGAAAAGGAAACAAAGGGAGCGAACTACTTACCGTACCCAATGCCATATAATTGCCATTGTTTGCCAGTTTAACAATAAAATAAAATTAGAAGGCAAATGAACACTCATGCTATGGTAATATAGCTGGGAGCTCGTATCTTAGAAATGGTAAAATAAAAATAGTTTAACACTTATTTCTTAAAATCATGTACTGTTGCTAAGGATGTATTTTATAGATGCAAGTAATATTGTGTATACTTAATTGGTATAATCCATGGTATAAACATTCAGCATGCAAGTAAACCTTTTGCTCAAGGACTTGCTTGATCGGCTGAAGGAAGAAATACTAACAAACTAGCCAAAATCTGGATGTCATAGCCCTAACTCCCATGCTCAGAGGATGGGGAAGAGCAGGGGAGATCTTGGAGAATGGGATCTATAGGCAATGGCCCAACAGGGCAAGGCTGGAAGGTTTGACCCCCATTAACAAAATACTTGTGGGCCCAGCTCTGATTGAAAGCATCCTCCAGTGGAAGATGATTTGGAGAGCATCCTCCAAATGATCAACCCCAGGTATGTCTGAGAGAGCTAAAATATATCAGGAATGTGAGATTGGACGGTTCCTGTGTTCTTGGAATACACCGACATTCTGAGTTGAGTGAATGTAGTCCAGCTGGCTAAGAACAGAGATTTGAAATCTGGACCTAAAAGCTTACCATCTGATGTGAGTCAGAGCTGGGTTCATCTTTGATGAGCTTCAGTAAACAGCTGCCTGAAATCCTGCTGACCTTGTAGTCTCTGCTTTGATATATTTGACTTTGTCTTCACTTAATGCCATTTTGGATTTGGAATTTAGCTAAATTGGCTCAGTTCAGATATTGGACTGTTTTTGGACAATTCCTTTGCATAATTGCCTACTATTGTAATTCATAAATTTGTTTGACCTCTCAGCTTAATTGTCTGTTAGATAGGAAAATGAACACAATAATCTCACTTTCTACGTACAATGTTTTCTAGTTTCTGAGTAACTGGCTAAGGAGGAAAAATGGCTTTTGTGGCTAATCCTCCACTTGATATTAATAAAGTTTTTCTTATAAATGGATAGATTAAAAGGCCTTTATTGTATGGTAAATTGATGCACTAGAAAGAAATTACTGTGCATGCTTCTAAAAAGGAACCTCTGTTCCTCGGGTTGGCCTGGGGCAAATATAAGCATAGCATTTGAGCACAGGTGTCCTCCAGCTAAGTGAAATGGTCAAATGCCATATAAACATATTAATCTTTCCTAGGAACACAGCTGTTTGGTCTAATTGGAATGTTTCTCCAGTGGGTTTACTCTGTTCCTCATGGGAACAGTTTTTTCTTATCCCTTTTTGAGGTTGAGAAACCAGAAGTGCTTAGCTTTGAGTGATCTTTCTTATTAATAACTGTTATAGTTCAAATTTAGCATTCCTTCAAGAACCCTTTAATTAGCAGAGATGAGGTGATACGTATTGGCTTGGGAAGTAGACCTTTTGTGTCCTACAGTGATGAGTTGTTCATAAAAGTTTAGATTTTGAGCATGGCATACTTTTTCAGGTATGTTGTTTTAGTTGTGAAGTCGTGTCCGACCCATCGTGACCATATGGACAACGTTCCTCCAGGCCTTCCTGTCTTCTACCATCTTCTGGAGTCCATTTAAGCTCACGCCTACTGCTTCAGTGACTCCATCCAGCTACCTCATTCTCTGTCGTCCCCTTCTTCTATTGCCCTCAATCTTTCCCAGCATTAGGCTCTTCTCCAGTGAGTCCTTCCTTCTCATTAGGTGGCCAAAGTATTTGAGTTTCATCTTCAGGATCTGGCCTTCTAAAGAGCAGTCAGGGTTGATCTCCAGGGGACTCGCAGGAATCTTCTCCAGCACCATAGTTCAAAGGCCTCAATTCTTTCAGGTATACTTGATTGCTAAATACTGACTGCAATTGAGTAATAGCTTTCTCTGGAGGTGAGCATTTAAAGGCAGATATCAGCTGCAACTTCCAAGTAGTCTTCAAAAGTAGCCCCACAATAACGTACATGACAGTAGTTGACTTTAGAGGTGATAATAGAATAGGTACCTGTGTAATGGTGAGATTACAGTGCCTTGAATTTGCATGGCCAATAATGATTGTCACTGGATTTAGGGATGGACCAAATTAGTACAAAAAGTGTTATTCAACAAAATGCTATAATTCAAGGCTGCAGCCTTCCATTGAAGTCAGTGAGAATATACAGTTGAAATATAGCTGGTTTCAAAAACAAACCCTTTAGCAAATGAAGGTAAATATACATGTCCTAGGATGTGGTTGTTTCCTGCTGATTTCTTTTTTTCTCACACATTCCCGCTTTTTGGCAAATCATACCCTGTCATTTATGCTTTAAACTTTTAAGTATTTTAAACTTCCTTGCAAATTAGTGTTTCATTTAGGAAAAAAGAGCCAGAGGAAGAACAGGAGACCTACTTCCACCACTCTGGTTTGTGGAATCATTGCATCCTGAAGATTTGTTTTTGAGCAGTGCATGGAACAAATCTGTACAATAATCTGGGAAAATAGTTACAATATCCAGTTCCCAAATAATTTGGTTCAAAGTAGCATATGCCAAATATTTTCTGTAATCATCCATATGTATATATCTATGAAATGTATGAATAATAATGTAAACTGAATACTAGGTGAATGACTTGCTAAGTATTGTAAATCTAGCCTTGAAGATTGTTGGCAACTGGTATGATAACAAAACCATTTAAATAGGAATGATCTGCCCATTTGTTAGACTTTAAGGAACAGCTGGTGTTTTCAGTGTGATAGGTAGCAATGATATCAAAATATCACACCTTCTCTTGATTTTTGGATAATTCTTTTCTACTGGGATTTTTTTTTTTACAAATGTAAATGTTGCCTTTAAAGTAAAAGTGTATGGAAAAATCAGGTCACATGTATGTCTCATTCAGTTTCACCTTATACTGTTAGTCATTTTATAAATTGTGCAATGACAGTGAAGCCAGTCAAACCTGTTTCTCCAAGTGCTGCCTTTTGAATTCAACTTGCAGGTTCTGAAATTCATGTGAATGTAAAAGCATTTAGTAAAAGCATTTCAACGGGCTTCTTTTCTCATTGAGGGGGCTGTGTGAGAGTTGCTTCATATAGCTTTTGTGGAAATGGCAAAGAAGGGCCATTCCAATTCGAATCTCCTTCATTTTGTCTACTTCTTTGTGTTTTACTCCTTCTGTTTAAATCAAAACATACTATTTTAGGTTTGCATTTGTGTTAGATTATTTTTTTAAAAAATTATAATTCCTATAAGTCAACCCCCTCCCCTCAATCTTTAGAATACAACAGAAAGATAATTATTATGTACCGCAGCAGGGCTTCTGTAACGTCGGCACATAAATGATAAACATAAATGATGAAAATGGAACTTTATACCCATTCTGGCTAAACCTTTGTTTTGCTTCTCTCTTTTTTTCTTCCCCACCAGGATTTTGGCACATATTCACAGGCTACTACAAGACAATAATGAAGCCTTTGAGTGGCAGGTGATGACATACATGCAGCTCCAGTAACTGCTCATTTTGTTAGAAAGCTAAATTCCACATTTTCCCCTAAGAGAGTAGTACCGTGCTTCAGAACTTGCTGGGTGAGGTATGTGGGTTCTATGCATTTTTGTTTGAGAGTTTCCTATCAGGAATGAAACTTTTGAGACTAGGACATAACTTATCATTATACCTGTTGACTTCCCATCCAATGACTACTGATAGCACCTCCCTTTCCCCTCCAGATTTGAATTGCTTGTCAGCCAATTTTAGAATGCATTTTGTCCTTTAATGGATAAATAGTAGATTATAAATGGCCACAGACCATTCACACTGAAATATTGCTGATAAAGATTAGTGTTGTACATTACAATTAAGCAACACAAAACCACAACGTTAGTTTGACTTCTGAAGATTTTTCATTTTGTACAAAATACAGGTTTGCTAGAAGATACATTGAAAAAGTCACCACCACCCCCGTCACTTCTTTCTTCACTTCACTTTGCCAGCCCATTTTTTTGAGGGAGGGGAGGGAAAGGGCAATGAGCACACTTCCAAAGGAAACATGGAGTTGCACTCACTAATTTTTTCCATTTGGTAACAGTACACATAGGGGCCTATGCCAGAGCTCCAGAAATGGTAGATGCTCATGCTTTGCTTTGCAGCAGGCTAACTATCAAAGGAAAGAAGGAGCTAAAGATACTGGAGCAAGGGCCCTGGAGTCTTCAAAGAAAGTATCAACTAGCACTTATTAGCCTTTGAAACCACCTTGTCTTTCGTGGTTAAAAGTAGTTGAGACAGACTTGGCTTTAAAATAAATAGCCTGCTGCTATTATAGCTTGAGCCTAGAATACATTTAGTTCAGGGGACGAAGGTTTTGTATTGTTGAACCTTTCTTTTCATTTTCACAGTCTTAAAACTTAGCTTGCAGCAGAAAGTACAGATCTGATGGTAATAGCCTCCCACCAGAATCTAATTTCAGTTTGCAATCTGTTGTCTTGTAAGGTACTTCACATTTAATGGTGGTGGTGTAAACTCAGGAGAGCTAAAACTTTGGGGATTTTAATTTAGCTTGTAATTTTGAGTGAAGTTAATAAGGAAAAAAAGCAAAATACTTAATAAAGAGATGATTTGTCAGGAAGCAAGAGTTGGGTAAACCAGTAGATTTAATTTGTAGTTAATATATCAGGGTATTGGTTTGTAAAGATTTACTACATAAACAGCTGAGATGTCATAGCAATAAAATCAAGAGCTATAATCTAGAACAGGGGTGTCAAACTGCCAGTCTGTGGGCCGGACGCGTCAAAAGGAAACCACGCCTACTCCATTGCCGGCAATGGGGAAAAAGTTCCGATACATCACACAACGTCAAGTGACGTCGTGAGTTTGACATGTCTGATCTAGAAAGTACCCAGTTCATTTTTATTAGTTATTAGTTTAATTATTACTATTAGTTCAGACATGTGATGTATCGGAGCTTTTTCCCCATTGCCGGCAATAGGGTGGGCGCGGTTTCCTTGTGACGCGTCTGGCTGGCGGGCCAGCAGTTTGACACCCCTGTATTAGTTGATGTTGATTAGATTTACATTCCATTTTCCCTTGAGGACTTCAGAGTTATAAACTGAACAATCCTATGGGAGAGGGAGGGATTCAGAATCACTCGGAAAGCTTCATCCTTAAACAGGAAATATTTGAAAGGAAGGAAGCAATAGTATCTTCAAGAGGAGGCAACTTTTTTTGTAGGAACAAACATAAGTTGGTCTAGTATTTTCATTTTATTTCTGTTAGCATTTATTGATTTATTTCACAATATTGAAAGTCATACACCTGTAATATGTCATAACAACTACCAAAAGAAGACCAATATTCCTTATTACAGAAGAATGATCAAAACTGGACTGTGTTAGTTTCCTAACAAATTAATTGCAGAACTGAGATTCAAAAAGCAAACAATTATTCTTCTTCCTTTATGACTTTTGAATGTGAAAGCTTCAGGGAATTGTGCAGGCCAATTTTTTAATTACAAAGGCCATTATTATATTACCGGTAATTTTAAACGCCTGTTATGCTACACAGATTTTACTTCAACATTTATTTTATACCTTTATTTAGCCAACAGACATATCATAGCAATACGCCTCCTTTCACTGAAACATTTCACCTCGGAAATGTATTGCCCTAAGAGAGACTTTGGAATTTGGGGGGTTGCAGCACTGCTTACTTTGCTTTTTCAATTGTTTTACCTCAGATACATACAGAATGTAGCCTGACCAGTATTTTACCTCTTTCTAAATAATTGAACAGTGCAAAAATGTAGTAGGATTAACCTTTGGGAGTTATGAGAAAATCTTTCAAAAATTAAGTAATGTGTTTTGCTATTTGAATACCATCCATGGCACGTTACATGCTCCGAGTATATATCAGCTCCAATGTACTAGAGCTGCTTAGGTCAGAGTACTGTCCTATTATCATTTGATATTGGTGGCTAAAGGGTTTTCATTATTTCTATGTTTGTATTCCCAAATATAGTAGTACTTAGGGAACCATTATCTGAGATTCTATGTGGTAGCAAACATATTTCTGCTTGCATTAATACACTTTTCTCTTAGCTGCTTTTCACCCAGCATAGATTACTCTATGATTACTTTGTGGGGAGGGGGGGATAGAGAACCTTTTTATATTTTATGTCCATTATTTAGATTTTATGTATGGTTCATGGTAGGTCTTAACTGAACAGCACATCGTCTCCAGTTGCCTTTCTGAGAACAAGTTTTGACATGTCTAGGGATGGAGTTTCTGTATTTAATCAGTCTAGAATGAGTAACTTCTAAAACTTTTTCTCACACAGTGATCTCATATTCTTGAGGGTGATCTATCACAGAACAGATTTTTACAGCTTTAAAAAACTAAGGTGAAATATGGTTGCTATTGAAAAACAATGCCTGGTAGTTCTCAAATTTTATCTCTGTTTCTTCCCTAATTCAAGATAAAAAATGAGTGAGGGCTAATCCTCTAAAGACACTAACCTTGGGATAGAATCAATTGAATACTGTGGAATTTCTGAAAAGGAGACTGAGGATTGTGTCTCAGATCTAATAATTGCAGCTAAGAAACACACACTTAACAACCTTTGATTCAAATTAGTTATCCTAAATCTTTAAAACTAAACTTGTGTGCTTCTGTTTAAGATTGTTAAATAGCGAGGCATATATTCTTAGTTTTTTTGAACTTTTGGAGGTTGGAAAGAGAATAACATTTTCAAGTAAACATTTAAAAGTGTGAAACATGTAAAGGAACTATTCTGTGCATCATTCATAAACTTTGTCGGAAAGAAGAACATGGGGCAGCTTTTCTCAGAAGTTTACCATACTGACTGTAATCAATACATTTGGAGGATACCTTGTTTCCCCGAAAGTAAGACACTGTCTTATATTATTTTTCCATCCAAAAGAGGCATTCGGTCTTAATTTTGGGGATGTCTTATATTTTTTGTGACACCTACCTCACCTCGCGGCAGTGGCACCAACAGCCCCATCCTGTAGCCTGCGTGGTTGCTGGCCCACTTCTACTGCAGCCGCTCGCGGCAGGAGGCCACGCGGCACATCACACCACTGCCGCCACAACAAGGCAAGGCAGGTAGGGGAAGGGGTGGAGCTGCCCCACGTGCTCTGCACCCACTTACCGGTACTTCAGCCCCCCCGCCAGGCCATTCCTTTATCGGTGACCTTTCACTCCCCTCCCGAGCCAGACTGCCATGCTATAGCAGATGGGATGGGCGGGATAGGCCCGGTCCCCCTCTGCCATTTCGGAGCCAGGGAGAAGTGATGGCGAATGGCTCTGCTGCTGCTGTGCACCGCTGGAGGGCCTTTCTTTAAGCTTCGCCCCACAGATCACCTGCCCGGGTGCAGCCACTGCCTCTTTGTTATCCGCCAACTCTCCTGGCCGCCTGCCTCCACCAGCCCTTTGTCACCTGTCTCACGGAGAACAGAGAATGGAGAATGCAGCGGCTCTGCGGAGGGATGCAGAGCAGAGAACAGCACTTGCTTGCTGCCTGCATTGCCCCGTGTCTTCCTTCTCCCTTCTCTCTTCTGGAAATGGCAGCCCCATTTTCTGCCGCTTCTCCTCCCGACAAGCTCCTCCCTCTTCCCGAAAGCATTTATTTGCTAACCTGCTTTCCAGTTCTGGCATGTTTCCCTTCTGCTGCAGAGAAACAGAGTTTGTGGAACTAAAAAAAGTTCAGTCAGACCTTCCAACTTCTCATGGGGAAAAAAAAGATTTGCCATCACTCCCCCCTGGCTCCAAAACGGTGGAGGGGAACCAGGCCTACCTCGGCCATCCCATCCGCCGTAGCAGTCCAGCTCAGGAGGGGAGTGAAAGGTCGACGATCAAGGAATGGCCTGATGGGGGGGGCCCTGAAGTACCAGTAAGTGGGTGCTGGGCACGTGGGGCAGCTCCACCTCCTCCACCACCTGCCTTGCCTCATTGTGGCGGCAATGGCGCGATGTGCCGTGCGGCCTCCTGCCCCATTGTGGCAGCGAGGTGGGATGGAGTGGGCAGGGTCCTAATTACCGTAGGGCTTATTTATGGGTAGGGCTTATACTAGCCCCCCAAAAATCAGGGTAGGTCTTAGTTTAGCGGAGGGGCTTATTTTCAGGGAAACACGGTACTAGTTTGGGAAAACGTGGTGTATAATTTTATCAGGGATGGTAGAAGATATTTTACTGCTTAAAGAGAAGATGGTGCTCCCCAACCAACTGCAAACTATTTCAACTAAATGAATCAACAACTAGTTTCAGGCTAGAGTCTGTGCCAAATGGAGAAATACACAAATGAGAAGTCAGTCAAGCAGCATGGGCCACACCTACTGTGTTACATAATTATCCAACTTGATCTTGAAAAGTTTGATAGGTCAAGCAATAGGCCAAGCAATAGAGACATGCCAGGAGAGGAGGGACCTCTGATTCTGTCAAGCATGGAGCGAATAGACAAGGGTGAGAAGAAGCAAGTTATACTCACACACTACTGAAATCTGTTGCTTGAGACCAAAGTCTCACTCAATCAGGTTAGTTTTGCCTTGTGACAGGGTGAGGTATCCTAATAGACTTGGGATGGTGTAATGCTTCACTTTTTTAGGTAGGATATGTAGATAAATTTTACTGCCCAAAAGATGTTTGTAGCTTGTACATAATATTTGGGTTACTTCTAGTAAAGCTATTGTTTTTATTATTTCAGATTTCCCAACAATTGTATTTATACCATGCTTTTAAACATAAAAAATGGAACCAATATAATCCACATTTTTTTGTTCAATTAAGCTAAATTTTGCAGCTTTTATTTAAGGTGCAATTTAAATAACTATTGATTATCTGCTAAGATGTAATGTAAAAATGTCACAACTCTAAACTTGTTTGAAATAAATAGGAATAATAAGAAGGTACATCATATGGAACCATACTAACATAAAAAAGGATATTAAGGAATACTGTAAGAAAATGCATTATCCAAATGATTCATAATTAGAATCACTTTGGTCAAAGTAATAATTACTTTCGAGGAAGAAAAGAAGAGTTTATAATTATATCTATGTAGACAAAGATATGTAAGTTACCTATTTGCTAGTGATACACAAGAACATATTCCAGGCTTACCAAAAAAAGAGGAAAAAGTAATATTTTCAAGTTTATAGAGCATACTGTAGATCAAACACCACCGTATATTCAGTTCCTAACAATGACATTTTGCATTCTTGCAGGTATTAAAACAATGGGAAATGCAGAGAGCCAAAGTGTAGAACACCAATTTTATGGAGAGAAACATGCTAGTTTGGGACGAAAGCATACATCACGTTCTCTTCGCCTTTCAAACAAAGCAGCTCGCCGGACCAGACATGCATCCTCAGGAAAAATTATTCACAGAAACTCAGAAGTAAGCACAAGATCTAGCAGTACTCCCAGCATCCCTCAATCATTAGCAGACAATTGTCTGGAATCTTTTACTCAAGAATCCAATTTAGGGGATTTTGGAAGCCCAATTTGGGTGGACAGAATGGATATGGGCTTGAGGCCAGTTTCTTACCACACTGATTCTTCTGTCACTCCTAGCATGGATAGCAGTTCAGCCCTTATGGCAGCGTCGGTACAAAGCATGCCGGATACCGAAGGTGGAAGACTCTACAGAGATGAATCAACATATTTGACTGAAGTAGGGGGTAGGCAACATTCTTACTCAACAAATGGGACCACATTTTTGGAGCCTATGACTTTCAAGAAAAAACGTTCAAAGTCTGCAGATATCTGGCGGGAGGACAGTTTGGAATTTTCTCTATCTGATCTTAGTCAAGAACATTTGACAAGCAATGAAGAGATCCTAGGCTCTCCTGAGGAAAAGGATGGTGAGGAGACTCCAGGGAGAGAACCTAGTAATAGTCGTCAAACGTTGGTAACATGCCAGCGTGCCAATTCCATGAGTGACTTGTATTCTCCTAAAAGTTCAACTGTTACAATAAATGGTGGACCGCGTAACATGCTAGGAGGGTATTGTCGGAATATAGGGTCTCATATCCCAGATGTGGAAAACCACAAAATATCACCAAACGCAGTGGATAATGTGTCCTCTTATAGTAATTACAACACACTTCCCTGTCGGAAATCTCATTGCCTTTCTGAAGGAATCAGTTGCATCAAAATGAACCACAGCAACAGTATGCATGGCAGACGAGCAAAAACAACTCAGGTAAGAGGCCTTTCAACATAGACAAATACCAGGTTGACTGATAACACTTTTACTTAGATAACTTCAGGTAAGTTATGTTTAGTTTCAGAACCTTTACAGGCGATAAAAGGGCAATATAGTTATTGACAGAACTGAAGCAATTCCTGTGTTTTAAAGAGAACTTTGTTTTCCAACACTTATCTTACATGAAAACTTTTCCGAGAATAAGACTCTCAAAACATCCCTGATGGTAATTGAACTTAAGCCGAATAGTAAAGAACAGCATTTCCCAAACTAGAATTTTTCAGATACCCTATAGTGAAGTCCCAAATTTTCCAGCTGGGTTTGCCAAAGGTATGTCCCCACAAATGTAGAAGGCATTTATGTTGGCTAAAATTGGAATAGCCATAACTCTTATAGTTCAAAGAACTGCATTTTTGCCCCATGAAAAATTCATGAATGGCAAAAAAAATTACCTTCTTAGTTATCAATTTATACACAGCCCACGATATTTGCATTTTACTACTAATGTTGGAAGAAGAAAATTTTCGTCTTCTACTGAAAAAGAATTTACTCTATTATACAGTAATTGTTCAGTGGAGTGAAATAGTGCTGCTGTCCATGCTTCCTGCTGTGTTTTTTAAAATTTATTTAAAAATAAATATGCTTGATGGTGAATGAAACAATATAGAAGTCACACTCATCAAGGCTGATTATTACAAAAATCAAATGAATCTTGTTTTTTTTATCAGAAGTACTATTTGATGATTGCCTGATAAGATTTCCAGCAGCCACTTCCTGAAGAACTTCTGTTTCTCCTTGTAAGCTATTAAGCTTTCAGTCATCTTACTTTTAAACTAAGAATACACATCTGTATTTGATCAATGGAAGCACTCTGGGAATTCATTCTCATACTAGACATACAATATGAATGAATAGCCAAATGTAAAAAAAAAGTTTTCAGAAGCTTTTGCAAACAATATTGATTGGCGAACCTAGAAAAGAAGAAAAACATAAAGCTGTCTTCCATTTTTAATAATGTTTATTAATTCCTTTTACCTTGACAGGTTAACATTTTTAGAAATAGTCATTTCAAAAGCATTTGTATTGTACGTTTTGCTTTGGATTAACATTTTTCAATGTTCTGGGCTGAAATGGTATATGAATCAAGGTTAAAAAAAATGAAATTGATATCCCATGCAATTTATGCTCAAAAATGCAACTCTTCTAATTGGAATGTTTTTAGTAAATATTCTTTGCAGAGTACAGATTTAAGAAATAAGTGCTAAGATAATCTTAGTGTAATGTTTTTGAGTAATCTTTAATTGCTTTCATTCAACATTTTATGTGTAGATTCCTAGTATTCTGATTTTCTTATATTTTCAACCTTGATATAGTGGGAGGACTTCAATGGTCCTGTGAATAACAGTGGCAGGTACATGAGCTGATAGTACCCGGATGGGCTCATGCAAGCATGGTCAAAAAGGAGAGGTATGAAGCTAAAGGAATTAACAATCAGATGAGGACAGATGGGACTATACAGTATGAGGAAAGCCAACAAACTTAGGAAATGGAGCTCCAGAATCAAATCTGGAAGAAAGCAAACCATTATACTATTCTCTTGGCAACAACACAAAATTGGTTTGCTTTCTCCCAGTAATAATGTCCTCGTTGTTATTATTTACTGTTCCAGCGGGTAGGGTTTGTGACAGACAAGGCATGCTTCCTTCCCATGAGATGACATCATTGATTAAAAGGGACCTGGAGCATACCCACTCTGCTGGAATGTGTCAGATGAGCGAAAATAGTTGGAGAACATTAAACTTTCATGAGCAGATTTAAAAATGATTTGGAACAGGGAAGGAAGTGAGTCAAGGATATGTTTTATGCTATATGTCTTTAATTCACACAACAAATATGAGTGGTAGAATCTGGAGAGATGTTTCCTGTTATCAAAATTAGACACCAAAACACTAACAACTGAGATCTGCAAAGGTTACCACTTTGTTAACTGAAAGCTTAGAAAGCTAAGAAATTCTCATTATTAAAGTAAAAATGAAGAGGGAAAATCTTGTTTAGCATTAAATATTAAGAAGATAATGTTGATATTAACAGCATACAGTAGGTTTCTGTTTTGTTTGCAATAAAGCCACTTGTTCAGTCACATTGTTCCTCTGGGCTTTACCATTAGTGAATTCATTAGTCTTTTAGTGTGGAAATTTATTGCTGAACCTGGCATGAAGTCTGACACTTAGTGAACTTACTTACAATTTATAGAAAACAAGTGAAAGTGTAGAATTTTTTTTTTATCCTGAGCACAACAATCTGGGAAAGTCAGTAGAAGATTATATAATGCTAGAGAGGAAGATAATCACAACTTAGACAAGACCATGAAGGATAAGGATACTTCTATTACAACAAAGTTCAGAATAGTTAAAGTTTTAACTCATGATTATATGGTTGTAAAAGCTAGATATTGAGAAAACTAGACCATAGTGATACCTTTCAGTTATTCAGTTATTCCAGCAAGTTGCTAAGAATAGTAAGAGTACCATGCCTGAAAGAAGAACCAACCTGAAGCAAAATACTGTAAATGCCAATTGTTTCTCGAGGCAACTATCAGTAAGCAGAAATTCCCATACTTTGTCTCCTATGCATTTGCAAAACTATTTGTGTTTGGCATAGGAGAGGTAAAGGTAAGACTGTGGACATATGGAATCATAGAGGTTACTGAAATATTCTTAGAAGGGCTGTAGATTATTACTGGAGACAAGTTGAGATGACATTTGCCCATACAGTTATCAAGTTATCTGCTTCAGCTTGGTAGCACCAAACTAACCGTATGTGACAGGGAATATAGACTACATCTTATGATCCAGAAAAGAGAAATTCTGAATATAAATATAAGATGGTGGTAGGGTAGTGGGGTGAGAAATCTCTGGATTGGCACCCAGATGCCTTTGGCGATGCAGCTCTCTTAAGTGCTATTCAATTTAAGAATTTTAAACATCCTGCAAAGTGCTTGGAACCTGCAAAGAGAATGCATTAGATAGAGAAGCCCACTGAGTAATGAAAATAAGTCTCAACAAACAGAGAATTTGGACAGGAGGGAGGGAACACATGTCTCCATTGACACTGAGGCAGCTGGAGGTGGGTTTTCTGGATTTGTTGCCTGTGCTTCATCTGAAAAGATGTGCTGCTTCTATATATAACTGTGACATTTTGAAACAGATGCTGCTGTTTTCACAGCAGAAGTTCTATAGCTTAAAAAAAATATCATACTAACCTTTCTTTCTTTTTGAGGTTATTTATCCAGGACAGATCAAAGTTCTGGTTAAAGATCAGAAACAAACAGAAAAGTCCTTATAGATATCTACCTTGGTGTCTGCTAGGTTATCTTCCCCTTGGAATAATTTTTAAAATACTTTTTACTTAAAAATAGAAAGGAACATACTGCAAAACATGGTGCCAGCTTTTAACACTTTTTCAAAAAAAAAAAAATCTGAATTGCCTTAAATCCACATACTGTATGCCCCATGGGCATTTTTAAAAATAATAATAATGAACGGCCGCAGCCCAGTGCTTCTGTAGAAGGGTATCTGTTTGGTCAGAAAAAAATAAGCTGGAGAATAGAGCCGAGCACACCAGTGAGTCTGAAACAAAATCCTTCCCTTATGGCCATGTGTATGGCACTATAATGTAGAACAGTGGTTCTCAACCTTTTTAATGCCGTGACCCCAACCGGTTGTAAGTTGAGGACTAAACCGGTCGTAAGTCGAGGACTAAACCGGTCGTAAGTCGAGGACTACCCAACCGGTCGTAAGTCGAGGACTTTCCCTGCCTGGGAGCGCTGCACATGCGTGGTTCTGCCCCCTGCGCCGGCCGAGGCATAGCTGGCAAGCAGCAGAGACAGAGCAGGCCGACCACCAGCTGGCCCAGCCCAAGGGAGGTAAGGCACCCGCTGGAAAAGGGAAAAAAAATGGCAGACAAAAAAAATGGCGGACAAAAAAAATGGCGGACAGCCTTGCTTGGCGACCCCCATGAAATGGTCGATCGACCCCAAATGGGGTCCCGACCCACAGGTTGAGAACCACTGATGTAGAAGAAGGCCGGTGGCTTGTGTTACATTATCATGATGCTGCTTACATCACTCTGGCTCCCTTTGTTCTCCTCCTGTTGTCACTGCTGTTCTAGAGAGTGTCAGGGAGCTGCATCTTTAGCAGTACGCCTTCTGATAAATTTACCTTTTATGATGGGCCACACTCAGTCACCAAGTTTCCTCATAGCAACCATTTTGTTGGCATTGCCAGAACAATCTCAAAACTCCATTTCTGAAATAGATAGTTTTTACTACTATCAAAAAGATGTTCAACACAGAACATAAAAATTAAAAAAAAAGTTTGTCTTGAAGTATATATAATTCAGTCTTTTCAAAACAAAGAACACAGAATAACATCTGAGTTTCTTTTTTAGTCTTGTAATGTTATCCATTGGGAATAATATGAAAAAGTTCAAAGCAGATTTATTTATTTTCTCTGTATTGACTAAAATTATATCTGTGAAAAGTATGTCTAATTTCAGTAGGGACTTATTCTGTGATGTGCTTTCAGAAGATTTGTATTCCTAGGCTTGTCTTTCAAATCTGGGCTGTTCTAATATACTGTTCTGCTGATACTTTGCAGAAGTTTATTCTAGAAAAGAGAAAACAGAGCTACAAATCTGAATGCGCTGACATTTCTCTTTGCTTTAAGCTATAGAAAGGTAATAAATAAAGGGATGACTTAAAGCCATAGCTTTCCTCAGAATGATTAGCTCTACATATTATTTTCAAATTTTCTTCAGATGTGGAGAAAACCGATCCATTGTATACCGAATCTGTGAGGTAGATGATCCATGCGTCAAATTTGCTTCTGAAATACAAAATTCAGCTGAAATGCTGCAAATCACCTTTATAACTTAATGATACAAACCTTGTTCCTAATTTCACTGAAAGTATGAACAGGCATATGAAAATTGCTTGT